CAGGATGCGACCCACACCAGTCTACTAACACCCAGGTAACCATTTTATACTAAAGCGTGAACAGGGACAGCAGGTGTCTTACGGAAACACGTCCCTAATGTTTTCCAGCCGCACCGGAGATTCGAACTCCGGACCTCATTGTGTGAGCTGAGTTCGCCAGCATGACGTACGAGCGACGTGCTAGTCACTGATATAGCTGATTTATCATATAGAGTGAGAGATATTCACGTAAATTAACATTAATATGTAACTGTGTAATTTAGACCATTTGTCGGTAGTTGTTACAGACACGTGGTTTTAAAACCGTGAGATCAAACACTAATAAATGTCCTGGGATTTGTTCACGTTAACTTTTAACTTAGGATGTATGTGTGTGTGTGTGTGTGTGTGTGTGTGTGTGTGTGTGTGTGTGTGTGTGTGTGTGTGTGTGTGTGTGTGTGTGCATGTGTGTGTGTGTGTGCGTGTGTGTGTGCGTGTGTGTGTGTGTGTGTGTGTGTGTATGTGTGTGTGTGTGTGTGTGTGTGTGTGTGTGTGTGTGTGTGTGTGTGTGTGTGTGTGGTGTGTGTGTGTGTGTGTGTGTGTGTGTGTGTTGTGTGTGTGTGTGTGTGTGTGTGTGTGGGTGTGTGTGTGTGTTGTTTGGTGTGTGTTGTGTGTGTGTGTGTGTGTGTGTGTGTGTGTGTGTGTGTGTGTGTGTGTGTGTGGTGTGTGTGTGTGTGTGTGTTGTGTGTGTGTGTGTGTGCGTGTGTGTGTGTGTGTGTGTGTGTGTGTGTGTGTGTGTGTGTGTGTGTGTTGTGTGTGTGTGTGTGTGTGTGTGTGTGTGTGTGTGTTGTTGTGTGTGTGTGTGTGTGTGTGCATGTGTGTGTGTGTGTGTGTGTGTGTGTGTGTGTGTGTGTGTGTGTGTGTGTGTGTGTGTGTGTGTGTGTGTGTGTGTGTGTGTGTGCGTGTGTGTGTGTGTGTGCGTGTGTGTGTCAGTGTCACAATAGTAACACGTGAAAGATAATCAAGATAATTGATAAACTACACTGAAAATAGCAACAAGAATGCTTTTGTGTGTTATCTGCACATCTTGTTTGGCAGTATTGTTTTTCTACAGCTGCTCTGCTCCGTAATGTCAAGTTTCGTTATAGCTATTGTGCACCGTCCTATCATGTTTCATTGTAGCTGCCAGTAGTTGTAGTAGCCGGGCCAGGGTGGTGCAGAGGGGACACAGGAACAACAGGACACAAATGGAAGTTAACAACTCAGATGAGTCGCAGGGACGTTAGGAAGTATTATTCAGCCTTAGAGTTGTCAGGAAGTGGAACAATCTGGAGAGTGATGTAATGGAGTCAGGATCCATACATAGCTTTAAGATGAGGTACAATCAGGTTCTAGGAGCAGGGGGAAAGTGGACCTAGTAGCGACTAGCGAAGATGTGGGGCCAGGAACTATGAATCAGTTCCGGCAAACACAAATAGGTTAGTACAAATAGGTGAGTACACACACACGCGCGCGCGAGGAGAGCCAGGAGCTATGAATCAACCCTTGCATCCATGAGTTGGCGGGTACACACTGACCTGTCAAACATCCACCTTGGCTCTGCAACTCATCCTCCTCCTTAACGCTTTTTCTACTCACTTAACCATTAGCGAGTTCATTGCAATGTAAGTAGTGATACCCACCCACACAGTCCCCAGTCACACTCCAGCTTACAAACAAATTCGCCCAATCACCAATCACTTAGACTTTGTACATATAAATACATTCTTCCCCCCTCCACCAGTCTCGCTTCCATTTTCACACCCAGTAGAAAAAGCATTTTCACCATAACATTTTCATATTTTCATTCAGACTTGAACAGATAAATACATTCTCAAAAAAAAAAATCACCCCTGAGCTCTCGAATACATTCACTCAATACATTCTTATTTCATTCAGAAACATTCATTTACACAAAATTCACTCAAGAGATGCAATGTAGCTTGTTCCCGACTTCAGAAGATTATCATACTCCTTTCTTTTATGTCAAATGGATGTACAGTTTAGGGAAGGCTCAAGAACCTTGTGAGAAGATACATGGCATTATGGGCATCTAGAGCGCCCATTTATTGTTCTACCCTTGTCATTATCATCAATTTTGCTCTCTAGAATAGCGTCACTGGTATTAATTCCTAGAAGGGCACCATGCAGATGCTGTCAATGAGGGCGATGGTTGGTGAACCTGGGCGAACAAAACTTATTGCATCAATTGCCTATCGGTTGGCCTAGGTAATTACATATTTGAGTTGATTAAGGATCGATCCTTTGGCCGGTCCCTGTGTAATTACTAGGTTAAGATCAACTGCCAGATACTGAGCTACATTTTAAAATGATAGTGAGTTTTCCAATAGCTATGCATAAGAGAGATAGGCCGAGAGGATCCTCTAACTGAGCACTCTCAGATGAAGTGATTTTATGCTCCCTTAACAGAAGCATCGACTCCTTGCTGTATCCAGCCGAACCGAAAGAAAACAGATTAAGGAAATGTGTTCGAATGGCTGTTAATACAACGCCTCTTTTCAGCAGGTTAAATGTGATTTTGAAGTCTAGTTTTAATATAACATATTTATGGAAAATTACATTTACTTGGATGTAACATAAGGTACATACCAGTAAATGGTAACTAAGATAATTATTATTTATCAAAGTTACATAGACGAGTAGGAATTTGGAACACCTAGGTCACAAAACTGTCCCCCATCGATACCTACAACTGTCATATCCACAAGATGCTCTAGACCTATATTAATTACAAATGAAATGTACATACACACCAGGAATTCTGGTAAAATTATCATAATTTTTGTGGACTGTATATTAAAATTAATAAATGATTACATATACACATTTATATAACAGAAGGAGAATTTATAATCATAACACTCACCAATTTGTCTGGAGAGTACCGTGTATCATACCCAAAAACCTCCCTCTAGCTAAATTTATGATGATAATACTGGCCAGAATTACAAACACAATTTAGATAGCTTATCTGAGGTTCCTGGAGCTGTCCTGTACATCGATTTAATGCTCAAATTATGCAGAAATGCACATCCAACAATTTAGGCTCCTATTTGAGAGGTGTCAGCCCAATATAACCTCTAGAGCGACAAAAATTCTTCTTAACTTCACTAACGTTTTCTTGGCTCATTCAAAAACATAATGGCGAGTCTCCCTGCTCGTCCGCGCAGGCGCCGAGCTTCCCATTTTTTATAATATAATTTTTATTAAATACAATATAGGCCATCAATTTACATATAAAATACTGTATTTCCGGAAAATACATACAGTATTTTCCACAATATTCTTCAGGTAGGCTATTGACATATGACCTTGCAGCATGAAGTGTTGCTTCATTGTTTTGAATTATCCCAGAGCCAAGATGGTTTGGCTGAAGCAGCATAGCCGCCTCTGGGTGAGTACATCTGACAGCCACTTTCTCTTTCAGGGTACAAAGGAGTGTACCAAAGGTGAATGGTTTAATTTTATTAGGAGTCAGACAAGCCATGGAGTTGACGAAACCTATGATCTCTGATAGGAGGGTGTCTGCAATATCCCCAACAACCAGATTAACCATCTCTTGTAAATACAGCTCCTAACAGAAATAAACAGTGTCAACATAACTGCTTGGTATAATTCGGATTCTTGTGTAAACAGTGGTTCTGTAGTGCACGAAGCCGTGTCATCATCCCTGGGGGCATTTGTGTCTTCTTTGGTGATTATTCTTGTTGCCTCGACTGTGTCGCCTTCTTAATTTTGGGGAGCTAACCTAACTCTGATTTTCTATCATTGAAGCTATTGTTGGGTCTGCCTGTTTCCCTTTCATGTTGAAGATGAAGGCGGATCAGGCTGTCAGCTCTGAGAAAATTCCTTAATAGCCTGATGAAAAACTAGGCTGGTGACTTGCTGCCTCATGCCAACATTACTAAAGAGTAGCAAGTTGTGCTATGTTTTGTTGGTTGGGGAGCATCTAGAATAGTGAGAGGGCCTTCGGTTACTCAGATGCTGTGGACAGGCTGCTTTGGGAATATGTGAGACGGTCTTGGAAGCTGCTGCTGTGATTGAATCCACGTTTTCTGTTATGAGATGTATTAGAGTGAGCTTAGATACTCTAGATGGCTGTGGGTCATCGCGTTCCTTGGAAGGACATTCAGAACAAGAGCAGTTACCGTGCTTAAGGAGGAACCCTGTACACAGAAGCGACACTTGTTTCCCTAACATGTATTTCTTTTATGCAAATATCGCAAACCAAAAGACGCAGGATGAAAAACAACCGCCTAGAGCTATCATTCTACCCCCCCCCCCCCCGTGGTTGTTTTGCATGTATTTCTTTATCTGCCAGTTTCCTACTGAGTAGCATGAGGTAAGGGTGTTGGAGTTAGCATAAAAAAATAAATACAAAAAATAGGAAATTACAAAACAATGATAGGTCAGCAAAGAATCCTAATTATAAGAGGTGATCAGGCCAAGAAATGCAATTTAAATTGTATTTCTTTTTTTAGCAGTTTTCTTCGTAAGTGAGTGAGAGTCTTATTTTGGCTTGAGACTATAGTTATGTGTCACGTCTGGCCAGGCTCTGGCTAAAATTTCAAGCAGAATATTTACATGAAGAGTTGCAATGGTTTTCAGGAAAAGTTGTGATTTTAGAAAGCAAAAACAGAGAATAGCTCATTCAGCATAAGATAAATTACGTGTACACTGGATAACAAGTGAAAATGGGATGAAGAAATTAATTAACCAACAGAGGATACAGAGCAGGAAACTGAAAGTAATAGGTTAGGTTAGGTAAGGTTCGTCAGGAAACAGGACAAATGTTTCCTGACGCGGGTCTTAGATGATGACCCGCCTTTGGAGCTTTTGGTCATCTGACCGAGGCCTTCCGCTGGCTTACCGGTCCACCCCTTTAAAAATTATGGTCATTTATAACCATTGTTATTAATAAATTACTGAAAGTAATATATCTTGGCAACATCCATTAACAGGTGTTACTGAAGGTGTTGCTACCTGAGCAAGACGATGGAAGAACACCAAGTAGTTCCTGACGTGATCGACTCACCACCTCCAGCCATATTAAAGGTAGGGTATGGATAAGTCTCACTCTTTACTGGTATGTACCGTTTTGTCTCTTATTTCTCTCACCATGGCTTCGTCTAGCCTCTACTCTTCCATCCTGTTTCTTAGAGACACAGCTTTTGATTTATTTTCAAACTTGTCTCAGAAAGAAGTTCCTTAAAAAATTTTAAACATGCAAATAAATGTCTATTATATAAGGTTTTCTTTATAATTGGAAGTATCTTTCATATGCCTGTATGTAAAGTGAATATATTGTAATAATATGCAAAAGAAATCCATGATTTGAATTCCACTAAGGGAGTGGTTCCTCTGTTGCCAATATTTTGTTTAAAAAGGTCACTTTAAGTTTCAATGGCCTTTGGACTACATCATTGGAGTGTACAACATAAGGTTTCTGTATGACCCCTGAGCGTTGGCGCTCCACCTACGACAAAAACAATCCTAACTATGCTCTTGTAGGCTGTTTCACCAAGTCTTGCCCTACGGACCACTTATCAAATATTTTTAAGTAAACGATTAAGTTTGTAATTTAATGCCCAGAATTTGTTCTGGCTACATAATTTTATCCGCTATTATTATATTACAAACAAACTGTTTCACATCTCAAAATATGGTAAAGGTTTATGTCGATACTAAGTTACAATTGGTGAGTGAAGTGTGCTTGATGCCTTGGACAGGTACGGTATGGGGAAGCTGTGGTGAATAGTGGCAACCAACTTACACCTACCCAGGTGGTGGCACTACCTACACTACTCTCCTGGCCAAGAGAGGAGGGTGCTCTCTACACTCTCTGTATGACAGGTCTGTTAGTGCCGTCCTGCCATAAATTTCCTTTCCAAAGAGCACCAAGTTTGTACTAATACTTTTTATTAAGCAACATGTAGAAACAACAGGATTATAAAACGTAAGTATACCATTCCGATTCCTTGTTAAAAAATATAATTATCTTGAAATAAATTGTATTTGCCAATGTTTATTCCTTATTACGTCAACATTTTTTTTCCACTCATACTGTCCTCAGACCCTGACGCCCCTAATCGACAGGACCCCAAGTCACGTGAGTTCCTTCACTGGCTAGTGGTCAACCTGCCCAGCTGCGACCCAGCCACTGGTCATACTCTCTCTGGCTTCGTTGGTTCCGCCCCTGCAGATGGATCAGGTAAGATGGACAGTCAACATGGCAGGAAAGACTAAAAGTTGTAAACAAAAAGAACCACAAATTAAGTAAGAATGAGAGAAGAGATATATTGTGGAGTCTATGTAGAGTGAAGGGGAGAATGGAACCATAGATAACTAGGACCATATTGAAGATGTATTAAAGGAAACAAAGAACGAAAGTATTTTTGGTTAGTGTTACTGAGAAGTGGACAAAGCTCCATGACTTGATGCAGCTGCATGATAGATACATCAGTGCAGTTTTTTCATGCTTGATTCAGCTGCATTGTATATTTGTTTAAGTTCACGTTCGGTCTATACAGATCATGCTGAAGCAGAGTATTATTCATGGGTCGGCACTAAACCCATGAGAATCACAAAGTTTTTTAAAATTCGTGGGGAAGTGGTAAACCTGTGGCTGTCACATAGCCTTTAGGAATGGGGAACGGGAGGCAGTCAGATTCGAAACAAAGAAAGGGAGGATGGCTCTAATCCATTTTCCAGCGCCTGGAAAGTGAAAGGGAATCAAATTTGATCCCAAGAATAAAGAGAGATCTCCAATTCCTCGGATAAAAATCCCCTCATCAGTTTCTGAATAGCTTGTGTATTTATTGGTTATAGGCGAATACTGAGATTGTCATCAAATTGAAAATCCCTCCCTACTCAATGCCCAGAGCATGGATAACATTCACACCCTCATATAAAAAAGAACAAAGAGAATCCACTCCTGTTTAAGACAACATCGTAATGCCTATTATCTGTCTCAGTGCTGGTGGAAATGATATTGAGAAGGGTAGGAGAGAAGAGCTGTTAGATAAGTACAGGTCAGCTATAGATTTAATTAAGTCTAAGGGAGGGGTCCCAATCATAGGTAGCATCTTGCCTAGAAGGGGAGTGGGCAATGAATAGTTGTCTAGGGCAATTGGTGTAAATTGCTGGCTAGACAGATACTGTAAGGAACTTGCAATCCCATTCATTGACAACTGGGACAACTTTTATGGCAAACATGATATGTATGCAAGGGATCGGGTACATCTCTCTAGGGCTGGGGTGGTAACACTTGCAAACTCAATCGAGAGGGCCATTGCTGAAATGCCTAGGATTTTAAACAGATAGAAGATAGAGGTATGGGTGTGTGTGGGAAACAGTCACATTGCAACACCAGGGTTGAAAACAGTAAATGTATATAAGACATTCATCATGAAGTTATAAATAAAGACAATAGATCAGGTCAGAAAACAAAGGGAGACAGCAGAGGGCAGCAAGGGACTAGCTCCCTTAAGGTCTACTATACTAACAGCAGGAGTGTAAGAAATAAGATAGATGAGCTAAGATTAATTGCAAATGCAGGAAACATAGATATCATTGCTATAAGAGAGACCTGGCTCAATCTGAAAGATAGAGAGATGCCTTCTGAATGTCACATACAAGGTTATAAATTATTCCACACTGACAGGGTCAACAGGAAGGGTGGTGGAGTAGCGATGTATGTCAGAGACAATTTAAACTGTTGTGTTAGAAAAGATATAAAATTAGAAGCGTCAGCCACTGAATCTGTTTAGTTACAGCTTCTCGAGGGCCGTGAAAAACTAATTTTGGGTGTGATTTACAGGCCCCCAAATCTTGATAGGGAGTGCAGTAAACTTCTATGGGGTGAAATTCGTAAGGCATCTAAATTCGGAAATGTTGTGATAATGGGAGATTTCAACTATAGACAGATTGACTGGAGCAATTTGACAGGAAATTTAGAGTCAAGTGACTTTCTTGATACGATTCAGGTATGTTTTTTTTTAAAACAGTTTGTGACAGAACCAACTAGAGGAAATAACCTGCTTGACTTGGTTCTTGCCAGCAGGGAAATGCTAATTAATAATCTTGGAATTCCCCTTAAAATGACAATCAAATCTTTGTCCTGACTCCAGCTTGGCTGATTTCATAGGACTGAAGAATTACTTGGGTGGGCTGAACTGGAATGACCTGACTATGGGTCAGGTAGGTGGTGATGAATGCCGATATGACGTTTTCCAGGGAATAGTTCTAGCTGCTCAGACAACTTATGTTCCAAATAGGGAAATCAGATCAAACAAAAATGATCTAAATGGATGAACAATGGATTAAAACATCTCATTGGTAAAAAAGAGAGGCATATATAGGCAAATCAGAAGAGGAGAGGGGCAATTAAGAAATCAATATATTCAGTTAAAGAGAGAAATAAAAAAGGGAATAAGAAAAGCAAAAAGAGATTATGAGGTTAAAGTTGCAAGAGAATCGAAGACTAACCCAAAAGGGTTCTTTCAGGTATACAGAAGTAAGATCTGGGACAAGATAGGCCCACTCGAAAGTTACTCGGGTCAGCTCACAGACAGTGATAAGGAAATGTGTAGAATTTTTAACACATACTTCCTCTCAGTTTTTACACAGGAAGATACTAGCGATATTCCAGAAATAATAAATTATGTAGAACAGGATGATAATAAACTATGCACGATTAGGGTCACAAGTGACATGGTCCTTAAGCAAATAGATAAATTAAAACCTAACAGATCCCCGGGCCCTGATGACCTGTATGCAAGGGTTCTAAAGGAATGTATATAGGAGCTTAGCAAACCTTTGGCTAATCTTTTCAACATATCACTACAGACTGGCATGGTGCCAGATAAGTGGAAACTGGCAAATGTGATACCTATTTTCAAAGCAGGTGACAGGTCCTTAGCTTCGAACTATAGACCAATAAGCCTAACCTCCATAGTGGGAAAATTTTTGGAATCAATAATTGCCGAGGCAGTTCGTAGCTACCTTGAAAAGCATAAATTAATCAACGAATCTCAGCATGGTTTTACGAAGGGGCGTTCCTGCCTTACGAATTTATTAACTTTTTTCACTAAGATATTTGTGGAAGTAGATCATGGTAATGAATATTATATTGTGTATATGGACTTCAGTAAGGCTTTTGACAGGGTCCCACATCAGAGACTATTGAGGAAAATTAAAGCACATGGAATAGGAGGAGAAATTTTTTACTGGATAGAGGCATGGTTGACAAATAGGCAGCAGAGAGTTTGCATAAATGGAGAGAAATCAGAGTGGGGAAGCGTTACGAGTGGTGTTCCACAGGGGTCAGTGTTGGGCCCCCTGCTGTTCACAATCTACATAAACGACATTGATGAGGGCATAAAGAGCGACATAAGCAAGTTTGCCGATGACACCAAAATAGGCCGTCGAATTCATTCTGACGAGGACATTAGAGCACTCCAGGAAGATTTGAATAGACTGATGCACTGGTCGGAGAAGTGGCAGATACAGTTTAATATGGACAAATGGAAAGTTCTAAATGTTGGACAGGAAAATAACCATGCCACATATAAACTAAATAATGTAGATCTTAATATTACTGATTGCAAAAAAGATTTAGGAGTTCTGGTTAGCAGTAATCTGAAACCAAGACAACAGTGCATAAGTGTCCGCAATAAAGCTAACAGAATTCTTGGCTTCATATCAAGAAGCATACATAATAGGAGACCTCAGGTTGTTCTTCAACTCTATATATCCTTGGTTAGGCCTCACTTAGATTATGCTGCACAGTTTTGGTCACCTTATTACAGAATGGATATAAATGCTCTGGAAAACGTAGAAAGGAGGATGACAAAGTTGATCCCATGTATCAGAAATCTTCTCTATGAGGATAGACTGAGGGCCCTGAATCTGCACTCTCTGGAAAGGCGTAGAATTAGGGGGGGGGGTTATGATTGATGTGTATAAATGGAAGACAGGAATAAATAAAGGGGATGTAAATAGCGTGCTGAAAATATCTAGCCTAGACAGGACTCGTAGCAATGGTTTTTAGTTGGAAAAATTTAGATTCAGGAAGTATATAGGAAAGCACTGGTTTGGTAATAGAGTTGTGGATGAGTGGAACAAACTCCCAAGTACAGTTATAGAGGCTAAAACGTTGTGTAGTTTTAAAAATAGGTTAGATAAATACATGAGTGGGTGTGAGTTGGACCTGACTAACTTGTGGTACTAGGTCAGTTGCCGTGTTCCTTCCTTAAGTGAATGTGACCTGACCTGACCAAGATGGGGCATTGGATTAAGCCGGTAGGAGACTTGGACCTGCCTCGCATGGGCCAGTAGGCCTTTTGCAGTGTTCCTTCTTTCTTATGTTCTTATGTTCTTATAAAAATGCCTTATTACCCAGTGAAAGGTCGGTCCATCAAGCCACAGCCTCTCTGCAGCAGCCTGTTAACTACAGACAGGTAATACGTCAACAAGGCTTGAAAGACTATTAGCATCAGATCGAATAAGTGGCTCAGTTTAACACTAACAAAGCTGTCTGTACATAAGCTGGGTGATTGTGTATGACTCTTCAAGCACTTGGGAGTCCTGAATACAAACCAGAAAGCAGGTGTATCACAGCAGACCGTAAGTATGATTCAAACATTATTCAGAATAAAGGCTTTTGTTTTTCATATGCATGGATGGTTTCCTATATTGTAATTAGCTATCGCGATGATACTGACAATGGAGGTAAATCTGCATGTTGCTTAAGAACTGGACATCCCTGTCTATCTTGGTAAAACAATTCTGTTAAAAGACATCATCTTCGATAGCCAAAACCTGAGACAGATACCAGAGACCCGAGAGCACTTGAATCATGCACTGTGATCTGCTCAGATTAGATTATGTTTATGGGCAACGTAAAAAATCCACCAGATCATGTGACACTGTTATAATCCGTTAGGAAGTAGTCATCTGTGCAAATGAATGTAAATACTGGAGGTAAACCTGGCAGTCCTGTTCTGAGAAAAGAATGGGGTACACGTTCTTCAACAATGCGTAATTGAATGTTCACTTATCACTAACTCAAGGCTCGACGGAATATGTTTTTATTTATGGCTACAAGAAGGATAACAAGAGTAAGGAGGGGGAGGACTGGAGTAGGATAGAGCAGTGAAAAAAAAGTTGTGGGTAAACAGAAAGAGAAAAAAAAAATAAGGGCAGTGAAAAAGGTTGTGCGTAAACCGGAAGAGATAAATAAGAGCAGTGAAAAATGTGGGTAATCAGGAAGAGAGAAGTAAGAAATGTTCAGGGGCCTTACTACTTTTAGTAAGTTTTAAGTAAGTTCTTCCTGTCAGTGAGGTCAGTTGTGTCGAGGGGTTAGTGAGTTATATGGAACTATGTAAATACCTTATCTACTCTGAGGTGTTTGAAGGCGTTCTTACTGTCTAGATTAAATTTGCCAGCACCAGTTTGTAGGGCATGGGGGAACGCTAAACCCGTAGGACTATACAGCGTCTGTGGTGGGGATGTGGAAGGTATTCAGGCTTAATTCAGGGAAAAGAAGCACAGATCCAATCCTCTAGATCAAGAGCCTCTCACCTTCCTTGAGGGGGCAAATTTGTAAGCATATAAACCCTAGATGAGTAGGAATGAACAACAAGAGCATGGACGGGATTCGAAGCGTGTGGCAGGTCCAACACGGTGCTAGCCGGCCACGAAGGTTACAACAGGATGATGTAACAACCTAAACATCTGTGACAGGGTTGCAAAAATCATTGTAAAATAATTTTAGACTTACATTTGCAGCAATGAATTTGCACCAATTCATATATATATATATATATATATATATATATATATATATATATATATATATATATATATATATATATATATATATATATATATATATATATATATATATATATATATATATTCAAAAAGAATACAAATATAATCTACATTGTATAATATATTTTATAGGTTTGTCGTTTCATTCTGTGATGAAGATAATTTTATTAATTCCATTTATGAATATTAAAATGGTATAGAATACCGACAGGTTAGTAAGAAAGACATATGTGCAGAAAGACACATGTGCAACAGTTAGGTATCTAATAATTAGATACCTAACTGTTACACATGTGCGTTTCTTAATAATTCCATTTGTGTTGTGTGTGGGACAGGCATCCCTGAGAGAGAGAATTCCTGAGTAATAGTATCTCCAGCTCTGGCGGAAAGAAATACTCGAAGCCTGAGTAGCTACTGGATCCTTCATGGAATACCTGACGGAGCCACAATGTTCTGCTGAAGTCTCCCAGCTCAGGCTGACAGATTTCATCATTAGATGTATGGAACCCATCCTGAGTGATGGAATATACGTAACAGGAAAACATAACCAGCTTTTATTTCAGTAAAGTAACTGTTTTTAAAAATAGGTGAACAGCACCCTGCTATATCAAATTTTGTATAATCAGAAAAAAGGTAGCAGCGAGGAGAGAGAGGAAAGAATCAGGATAAGACGGAAGACGGGGAGATACCAGCCAGCATCATGCACAGTTATTGTTTCATTATGCATGACAAATATTCCTTTAACAAACAGTCGCACCTGAGAGACAATCCTAAAAATCAAATGAGTCTCAGAAGCCTCGTAAGATATGTATCATTTCTGCTGCTTGACAAAGCTCCTGGAGAGCGAAACGTTACCACAATAAAATGTCACATTAGTTGCATCTGTGACAATTTATCTAACATTACTGGAAGAATCCACATCACAAAATAGAAAATATCGCAAATATTTCCGGTCCAAATTGAGACCCTAGTCTTTGCGGGACGAGGGTCAGTGCTCAGACAAATATGGAGCAGATCTATAGAGAGCCATAATATATAATGGAGTGTACTATCTTCCTCAGGGCTGCATCGCTACGTATACCTCGTGTACCGTCAGCCAGCTCGCATCCAGTGTGACCACAACTTCAACAAAGGTGAATCAACATCTGTTCTTGTTTCTAGTTGTCTCATCACTACTTGGTCAATAAGATACAATATGAGCTTCATGGTATTTTATTGAGAAGACGTGTCGTTCACCAAAGACTTTTATCAGTTCGTGGGAATTAAGCCCCTGATGGTCGAAACGTCTTCTCGATAAAATGCCATAAGCCGCATATTGTATCTGGCTAACGTTCTCGTCACCAGTACACAGTACACAGACCTCCATTACCAGTGATGGTCACCATTAACCGATAACCAATTATCAGTTAACCATTTTCCCATCAATTAATAACCAGTCACCGTCAATTAATAACGTCACCATCAGTTAATAACCAGTCACCATCAATTAATAACCAGTCACCATCAGTTAATAACCAGTCATCATCAATTAAGACTGAGACTCAGTCGGTTAATAATCAGTCACTATCGGTCAATAATAAGCTATTAATCGGTAACCAGTCATCAGTCACTATCCTCTCACCTAGTCACATTCAGTCACTTGGTGTTCATTGTGAGAGGGAGTCAGTCACTCTCACTTCCTCTCATTAACTAGACATCAAGTCAAAGTCATTCACTAACAAGTCGCAATCAGTCACTAGCCGCAGTCACTCAGCAGTGATAGTCAGTCAGCAGCTAGTCACTAACTCATCACTGATGTCGTTTAACAGTGGAACAACGGAGGAACTTCAGTATCAGAAACTTTGCTGCCAAACACAACCTGCAGCTGGTGGCTGGAAACTTTTACCAGGCTGAGTATGACGCCACCTGTGACCTCATCCACAGACAGTTGGGTCTCCGTCGCTGAGCTACCACCACTACCACCACCACTACCACCACTATCAACTACCACCACAGTCGCTTAACCTCCAGCATCACAGCTAAGACTTAGAAATTAATTACAAATTATGTAATGTAAGATTAATATTGTAGAATTTAGAGGCGAAGATTATTTGGATTTAGATGTAACATTGATATTATAAAGCTAAAACAAAGCTTATCCCAGCTAGATCAAGATATTGAAATGTGCTCGTTAACGGCAGTTTTACATAACTTGAGTTAAAGAAAGTATGTTATATATATGGGCAGAAGTACTGCTACTTGACAGCAAGTATATCTATAGGAGATATAACCCACCGGGTTACCCGAACCTTCCACCAAGTTATCTGCATCAACATTTAAACTGTCAGACTTGTTGCTGTCATAATGGTGACACCAGTTGATGATGGTGAGGCAGAATCTTGCAGCGTTCCAATAGCACGACCAAAGTTGTTCAACAATTCCATCATGAATCACTGATTCGAATTACTCTGGGGTTATTAAAGAGCGATATGGAAATTAGCGTTTTAGGAGGGGGCTAGCTTCCTCGTAATTACTAATAATCATGGATTAATTATTCATGGAGTGATTAACAAAGAAAGTAATATCTGCTTTGTAATTTAGGAGTGTAAGATATATACAACCCTCCCTATAATTCCCCCTTCGATATATACGTATAATTAAAGGAAGTTTATTGAACTATAATTTGACTAAATATTCAACACTAGAATTACCCTGTTATTAGCAATATCTCATAAGAAACATTATATTTATATTACCACTACATTCTTCGGATCAACAGTGACATTAGAAAATAAAATAAAATAGATAAATTTAATAAACTGAATAAGGTGTAATAATAAATAAATATTAGATAATTAAATTATCATTAATAAAATTAAAAAAAAAAAATATTTCAAAAGTTTTTTGTTTTACTATTCTTTGGTGAAATATTTCTTCTTCGTTATCAACCCACCCAAGAGCAGGTTTATAGAAGTCCAGTGTTACAACCTGGTGAGGAATCACAGACAACTCTGTCAGGATAAGTTAACGAAGACTTATCTGTACTGGATGTTTGGGTTATGGATGCTGTCCTGAATCCGTCTTCTCTCAAGGCTTAATTGCTGTATAGTCCTTGTGGCTTAGCGCTTCTTTTTGATTATAATAATAATCAAGGCTTAATTGTTTAGTCAAAAACCCTTGTTTCGATATTTTAGGTTATCACTCAGTAATACACTTCCAAGACCTCGGTGAGATGACCAAAAGTTCCAGCGGCGGGTCGTCATTTAGACCCGCGTCAGGAAACTTTTCCTGTTTCCTGACAAATCTTACCTAACCTTATCTTTATTACGGCCTGTATTTTTTATGCCTGTCAAGGTGCAGCTAAAGTGCTCCGTAAATGCCACGACTATTCTGCTCAGCAATAGACTGTCTCCTGGTAGCTACTGAGCCGGCTGATTGTCATTGAAAAATCTGAGTCTATTAGCACACGAATCTATTAACTCATGTTGCTTATAATAGAATATTATACATTAGTTGTCAGTGTAATGATTGGTGAGACAGAAAATTATAAATAGCAAAATTATAAATAGCTAAACTACATGGCATTAATTTGAGTTATTATTCACTTTGACTGCAGCCCTAAATTTCAGACCCACGTCCAGCATATAATCATGAACTATCCAAAATAGTAGACATCCTTTCCAAGGTACGGTACTATGTGCCCCAAACGGCACTCCTTGCACTATTCCACGCTCTAATCTACCCTTACTTCACCTGTGTTGTTGATTACCAACTCCTGCGCCAGGCAACACATTCCACAGCTCTTCAAGAGCTTGACCTAGCTAAATATACAAAATATTCACTAATATTATTGAGCCTACTATATATACAGAACACTATACACCCTCCTCTCAAACTTCTTGACAGCTACGATAAATTTGCAGGCAGGGGACCTTTTGCTGGTTCAGGCAATGAATTCGAGATCCTCACCCTATACAAAAATGCAGAGCACATAGAGGGCCCGAGGATATAGAATTCATTACCTGAACCAGCAAAAGGTCCCCTGCCTGAAAATCAATTTAGGGCACTACTTAAAAATCATCTTACCTCCCAAAATTAATCATACCAACACTATGCTAAATCATATAGCAAGTTTGAAGCAATTCAAAAAATCTCGAAAAAGTTTACAACCGCTTGATTAACTAAACGTTAATACATACTTTTAATTGTATTGTTATATTACTGTTATCAGTGCTAAATTGTAATACTGTTTATTTTTTCGATATGCTACACCACAGCTGCATATTTTACTACTATAAATATTAGCTGCCTCACTGTTGTAATAAGTAAAATAATGTATAATTAATATTTACCAATCTTTACCTGTTTAGTCTTAAAGTAGTCTGCAAACATTAGTATTAGTGTGCCCGAAATGCCCTGGCATGTTAGTGGCTTTCTTTGTACATAACAACACGTATAGTGTAAACGCACATTGTACTAGGAAACCTTTGGTTTCCTAGTACCGACTGTCCAGGACTCCTCCCTGTCCAGCAGGTCAACCCTGCTGACTTAGTAAACCAACCAGAAACATCTCACATGATGTATACAGAAGATGCACTTCCTGTCCCTCACACAACTTGATGTGCAACGAACCACATCAAAAGTATTATCTTTAATTAGGTAAACCCGAAGGACATCTTTAAGTGGTTTCCAGCTTTTTTTGTTTTACTTTTTTCTTCCTTCAACTCTCCGTTTTTATTTTGCTCATAACAGCAGAACGCTTCATCTAATTGGCTTCAAATTATCTCGATGATGGTGTACGGTATCCAGGGCAAGATGTTGAAGCCATTCCCAGCATCTAGAATGGCTCCTATAACTTCCAAAAATTTCAGCGGGATAACTTCTAACGTACAAAAAAAAGTGCTTCCTAATTCATCTACTGAGGAAAGTGAAATTCAAGTGTGTGGGTACACATCTGTAAATTTTATGTTCAAAACAGTGCGAAAATTATAATTCCGGTTTAATCACTTCAAAAATACTCGAGTGTGCCTCTTCTGAATGGCTTCAGTATTTAATATTAGGCTTGATGAAGCTTATGGCAGAAAATTTATAAACTTGGATTAATATTATTATAATCATAGGGGAGCGCTAAACCCGTAGGATTATACAGCTCGTGTGGGGGGTGCAAGGCATTCAGGCTCAATTCAGAGAACCGGAGCACAGATCCAATTCCCTAGATCAAGAGCCCCTCATCTTGAGGGGTATAAACTTGGGGTTTTTGGAAACCTAACTGGAGAAAGCCTCCTCTGATCAACTTCAAATTTTCTGTCTTGGTGTGTTTTCTAGATACCAAAATTCACATTGTTATTATACTCCAGAGATCACAATCTGAAAACTTTATTAATTAATTAATAATATTGACTTTTCATTCATAAACAAAAAATGCTTCGTCTTACTGCTTATGTGTTTAGAAGTTTACCTATGTGAAATAAAGCAATTGTAAACGGGTTCAATCTGTAATGGCTGATGCATCGTATAAAATTGCTGAAACCTTTTATTCTGAGTAGACTGTGTGGATGCAAATTGTGTTGGAATTTGTGCAGTAACTGGAGACTGGCTCTTTTGCTCAGTTTCAAACATTTAGTGCTGTTTTCCTTCGAAGGAAACTTCGCCCTTATTAAATCATTTCAGTTGCTTTTGTCTGTATCTCTTTTACTTACTAAGTGTTGACTTACTACTTATCTTTCATTTTGACTGGAATTACAGTCACGTAACATCTTTGTATCTCACATAGGATTGCTATACATTTAGATCTCAGAGGCTGAACAATTTCGTCCCAAAGCAGTCTTCCTTTTGTACTTTTAAAGTTCGAGATTCATTATATAACACCTAAAACTGACTTTTAATATCCTTCAAGAATTTGAAATCAGACAGATCCTGCGTCAATAAAATCGAACCTTATTTATTTATTTCGAGTAGCAGATTAAGTTTTCCCTGACTTACAGCGTCACACCTTGACATTACTCGTTGTTTCTTTCCGTGTGCAATAATTTATATTATTGTATGTGGTATTAGGCAACCATATTCTGACTTTTAAAATTAAACAATCTCTCTGTTACTGTAATATCATCTGTGTTTCTTGTACACACAACTGATCATAGTTTATTAATCTTGCTCTTCACACTGCGGATATTTTGATAGATGCTAAAATTTTTTGTTCTTTTGTATCTTCCCACGATACCTCTGTATTTTTCTTAATTTTTGGTGTTTTATTACTTATATTCCACCTTCATATTTTCGTTATGTTGAGAATATTTAGTAATTATAGTGTCAATAGCTCCTCACTGCCTTTAATACCTAAGCTTTCCTACATGATTATATTAAAAAAAATCACTAAATGTGTGTCCCATTACGTTCACAGTTTTCAGATAATTTAATTTTCCCAGATCATTGTTATAAGCCAGTTTAAACTCCACAGATCCAGCTCATACTTTTATTCCCAACTAGACTAATACAGATTAATTGGACAGATTTAAGCGATTATTCCAAGTTAACTAATTCTTGCGATATGTGACGTCAGCAGTGAGTAAGCCAATCAACTGTGTGTATTAACAAAAAAAAATAACAATGGTTATAAATGACCATAATTTTTAAAGGGGTGGACCGGTAAGCCAGCGGAAGGCCTCGGTCAGATGACCAAAAGCTCCAAAGGCGGGTCATCATCTGACTAAGACCCGCGTCAGGAAACATTTGTCCTGTTTCCTGACGAACCTTACCTAACCTAACCTAACTGTGTGTAATAGTTGCATGCCATTTGGCAAATTTATGTTGTACCTCCAGCGATAATTCTTATTTTGTCGAGGTAACTATAATTAGAAGTAAGGCTGATGGTCTTGGCAACGTGTGTTGTGAAAATGGAGACAAGAGAAGTGGGGAGAGACCTTGAGGCAAACTGTTTGACTTATCATAAGTTTTACCTAGATTTCCAGCAGAGTTTAGAGTGTCATTATACTTCTCACGTCGGGTTAGGTTATTACCTGATTGTATTAAGAAATCAGCTCAGAGAGACTGAGTCTCATAGTGGAGCACACTCGTTCTGGGACACCATGAGGTGCAGCAGGCTTCATTTACTGCATCCAGGCACACATGGCAGAATTAAGTAGAACAAATAAGTAAGATGTTCCCATACCAGAGACCAAGTTACGTATCTCGTGACGTTGTATGGAAGTAAATTACTCTCCAATCCACTATTTTAGAATTACATCATTCTGTTTTATTTAGATGTGTTTCAGATATATATGTCATGTGGGTTACGAGGCAAACCATCTTTCAATATTACTGTTTCAACACTGTATTCACTCACTTCTCTTTTAACATGCAGTTCACAATTAATAATGTTTTAAGTCAAATTATATAATTGAGTATATTAATTACGTTCTTAAGCCCCGTGGCCTGGTGGCTAAAGCTCTCGCTTCACATGGGGAGTGTCCGGGTTCCATTCCCAGCTAGGGTAGAAACATTGGGCGTGTTTCTTTACACCGGTTGTCTATGTTCACCCATCAGTAAATTGGGTACCTGGATGTTGCTCGACTGGTGTGGGTCGCATCCTGGGACAAAACTGTTCACACCTTCCATGTGCATTATTATTTCGTCAATTAAAAAAAATAATATGCCAATATTATCTCCATTACAAGCTTTTTCATCTCATTGTTCGACTAATCATTACTCTTGCAACTCCCCTTCTTAGTTACAAGACTTCCTACACAGTGTATCATTCCTGAATCCTCACCACACTTTTTTTTTTCAAGATTTTCATTATCACATCTTTCTCACACAAGATACTTTTCAATCCTGACAAATGTTTATGCTCTATCTCTCATGGAATCAATTATAATTTGTACACTTTCACT